ATTGGGGGCGGGCACTGCAGAACAGGGGAGAGAAGGACGGAGGCCAGCCAGGGCGAGGGCAGGACCAGAGGGGACAGGCGGCCCAGAGGGGCCTGGAGCTGTGGCCCGGCCCGCCAGGGTGAAGGAGATGGTACCAGCTGTAGCGACGGACGAATGGACACTATAAACAAGAGAGACCAAAACCCTGGAGGAGGGGCCCCGGAGCTGATGGACACAGCAGCGCGGATCCCTCAGGTGTGAGCACAGGAGCAGTGCAGCCCAGAACGACCTTAACCACCATGCGTAGAAGGACCGTGTTTGCGGTGGGCGCTGGCCATGTGACCTGTGGCTGTAACCAGTAGGAGGTGACGACCCTGGCCCCTGCTGCCTCAGCCGGAACGGGGACCTCCAGGCTTTTGGATGAGCTTTTAACACTTTTAGTCTTATTTTAATCCTTCCTTTTAGCCTCCTCTTTTTACCTGTTTTTTTTTTAGCAAATCTATTCTTACATGTTTTATTGAAAACCTTATTTTTCTATTTTTTTGCGCTGTATTGATCAGACCCCCCCTCAAGACACTTTAAAGAGCGACTAAACACCAACTCAACTTTTTTTAACCCATAAACTGCATAAATATGTTTATTGTAGTGCTGTCTACATATCCTGGTCATTTTTTTGACATTTTAGATCAAATTAGATAAAATATCACTTTTGAGCCAAAAAACGCTGTGTGGTGCCCTTTCAACCTTTTTGGTGGTACTACATTTGAATTTGGTCCTGGCCTCTCCATTGACTCTGAAGTTCTCTATGACATCAGTTGTTTTGTGTGACGTCAGTCTGTCAGAGCCAGTGATATGAACCCATTCAACTCTCACACACGCCCCAGCTGCAGTTGAGTATTCTGGCGCCATCTAGTGGATTAAAATTAAATTACATGAGTCATTCTGAGATTATTGAGTGTGATTAGGTTCAGGTGTGTAGCTTTACAATTATCTTAGTGTGTAAACAAGGGTGGAATGAGACTTTCTGGTCTGTTAACTATTGCTTTAAGCAGCAATGACAACTGTGTTTTTTTTGTGTGACAAGTGAGCTGTCAATCACAGCCCAGACCACGCCCAACTCTAAGCCCCCCTTCTTGTCCCTTGGTCCTCCAGGCAACGCCCTTTTTAGAGAAAAATTTCAAATCTTCATGTGGGCGGAGTAAGGCTGGGCACAGGTGTTTAGTCGCTCTTTAAGCGTGTGACACTCACGCTCAATTGTTATGAGCGTGATAGCCCCACATGTGATGGACTGGCTGCACACTATGACAGCTGCTTCTCATACCTCCAGGAATGGGGCTCTCCATTCACTGAGCTTTCATTCAAAGTGTCTCTCCTGGACACTTCTAGAGCATGCACCAGAGTGTGATGAGGATGATTGACATCAGTGAAACACAGCTGTTTGATGAAGTCACTTCTGACAGAACTTGCACATCAGAAAAGATCGGACAGTGGACCACAACCTCAACACCTTCAGATGAACGCTGGGAAGACATTTTCACACATTTTAAGCACAATCATGTTCAATTCAGAAACATTTGTTACAATTTACGCATTTTCTCAATGGTATGGTTTCATGAACAATACATGGACTGATGAGAGAAACCGGGGCTGGACACTTTGAAAGCACTGCTCTTAACTCGTTACCTTTAAGTATAGTTGCTCTGAGTTCTATATGAGCATCAGTGAAAACCGTTGCCTCTTGAAAGAGGTAAGCTCCAGCATGAAACACTAGAGTCAGTAAGTCTGTTCAGGGTAATGCATTATTGCTCGTTTTATTTGTGCAATACCTTTTGATATTTCTAACTAAGTAAATGATTACCTGTTTGTGTTTTGGCAGCCACACTTTATTTAAGCCAACCAGTATTGTTTAAAATAAGCAATCTTATTGCCAACAAGTTCATTCAGGAGGCACAGGTAAATGTCTATAAGCTGTACTACCTCATTTGACTGCAAACGTTTGCCTAGTTTCTGGTGAGAATTTGTCGCAAATTTGATTTTTAGTTATATTAAACTGTCCCAGTTTCTCAATTTGAAAATCTGGTCACCCAACATTGAATTGAACTAATTTGGAGACTTGTGTGACACTTTGAAGCAACTGTGGTCAAAGTTAAACTCATCATTCCAACAGTATGCACAAGGCAGAACTTTCCCACTACTTGTTATGGTTTATCTGAAGGTTGAAGCTGCCAGCACTGTAGAAAATACTGATAATATTATCTCCATTCCTCCATGATGTATAACACCACCTACATTCTGTAACATCTTTGTTTGTGCTCGTCTATCGTCGACAACATAACATGTATTCTGTATGAATTAAAGACACGAACCCAGACGATTGTCTTTGTCATCACTAATGCTAATGCTAGTAGTTTCTTCTGCTCATTCCCTGAAGATCATTTGTTCAGACCTCTCAGTCACACTATTTCTTTCCGATAGTTTAGTAAACTGTGAAAACAAATGCATAGAATTGAGAGTGAGGAGTTGACGTCATAGCACAGAGCCCCTCCCCGTCTCCGCCATGTTGGTAGGATCCCAGCGGCAAACACTTGTTGTTGTTAACTCGGTAGCAAAGGAGGTCGTCGCTATTTCTGTTTTACCATGCCTGGAGCTCATTGCTGTGTGAAAAACTGCTCCAGTACCTCACACAATAAGAAAGGAAAACGTAGGAACAACGGTTTACAATTGTTTAGGCCACCAAAATGGATACAACATCAGGGAGCGCAAGTTGGCTGCAATAAGAAGAAAGGACCTTACTTTCGATCTCACCCCCCAGTCGATGAGTGTGTTCTCTGCATTTTTACTCGGGTACGTCCTAAAATGTCTTTATGTTGTTTTTTTAAAGTTAAGAAGTGTAGGTTACCTAGCTGTTAATGTTGCAAACACTGAAGTGCATCTTAAGTTAGCTGCCTAGCTAACTATCTAACAAACTGTTGCCTCTATGAAAATGCTTAATGGCCAACCATTAATGCTAACTAAGAATATTTAAGTTTCTGCTCATTATCCTACCTTGTTGGTGGAATATGGGCACTCAAAGTGCGTTTGTCTCTGTCTCTTATGTTCTCTAAACCAGTTGTGTCCAAACTTTTTTTTTGTCTTGTGTTGCCACTACCCCCTGAGCCCTTTTATGAAACCATGAATAGCGTTACCTTCTTGTTTAATATTTCTTTAGATTCCAGATTGTTTAATAATCTTATTAATCTGATGTAAGTAAACCATTATATGAGATTGCTAAAAAATAGTTGAGATTCTGTTCATGACATTATGCTACCTTGTTGCCAGTTTAAAGCATTGACTACATAGATTATTCTGTTCTAGGTAAACCATCATATGAGATGTTGGAGAATCACCCTGACTGGACACCATCCTTGCGGTTAGGCCACAATAATGTTAAAGAAACAGATGGAGCGCGATATCAGCGGCAAGTAAAGCGCAGGACCCAGCATCTGGAGCAGTCATCACTCCCAGCCCAAGCCCAGCAGCCTCCATCACCAGCCCAAGCCCAGCAGCCTCCATCGCCAGCCCAAGCCCAGCAGCCTCCATCGCCAGCCCAAGCCCAGCAGCCTCCATCGCCAGCCCAAGCCCAGCAGCCTCCATCACCAGCCCAAGCCCAGCAACCTCCATCGCCAGCCCAAGCCCAGCAGCCTCCATCGCCGGTCCAGCAGCTGCCTCAAGGAAGGATGAGGAAGCTCTCACCCTTCCAGCTTGTCCTATTGACTGTAATGCGCAACTTCTTACATTCAACTGTACCTGTGCATATGCTTCTCAAATGTGAGGGTGAAAACCTAATGCCTTTAGATAAGATTGTCACTGTTTGCTGTGCCTTAACGAACATGTGCAAAAGTGTTGTTTGAGTGCCTTGTTCATAACTTATGAACCAACCAGAACCCCTCATGTCATCTGGATCCGAGTCCAGAGTCAGAACCAGACACGGAGAAGCTGCATTCAGCTTCTATGCTCCACATGTCTGGAACAAACTCCCAGAAAGCCTCAGATCAGCTGAAACACTCAGTTTGTTTACATCCAGGTTAAAGACCCACCTGTTCTCAGCTGCTTTTGAATATGTTTTATTCTAATGTACAAATCTGCACGGCTTCTTTTAAGCTGGAATTACTTATCTGTAATCTTTTTCTTATGAATTTTTGTTTTTAATTTTAAATCATGCTTTTTATTCTGTTACTTTTTAATGCTTCTTCTGCACCCAGCTGTAATGCTTCTTAATTTTTAATTTAAAGTACTTTGAATTGTTTTGTAACATGAATTGTGCTGTACAAATAAACTTGCCTTGCCTTTTTAATTTCTTTGAAATAAATGTTTGAAACAACTTCATGTGGCAAAGCAATATTTATTGAGAAATTAACATTTTTTTGGAGGGGGGGGGTGTAATCTCTTGGAAGAGTTAACAGTGCAAAAGAACGTGTGCAGTCAACGTATAAATATTTCAGCATGAAAAGACGGACAACATAATAATAAAATAGTAACACTGCTGATAGTGCAAGTACAACAGTGTTTTCACCGCCTGGAGGCTTGTAGATGGCCAAGTCCTGCACCCAACCACAGCAGAAAGCCTCGTAACTCTCCAGTGACTTGTGACTTCTAAACTCCTGCATTGTATAATAACTAACACCGAAAACAAGGTAATTCACTATATCCATGTACGTGCACGGAGGCAAAAAGTCAAGGTATTTTTGCCACTCCGCTGCAGGAAGCTCGTATGGGTCTAGCTTACCTGTTGTATGTCTGAGAGCTTCTCCAAATAACGTTGTTTTGCTTTTCCCTGTACGGTCCATTTCCTTTCGCCTTCACTTTCTCCATTAACTGTCTTGCTAGTGTTGTAATCGTAGATGTATCTACTGCCAAAATAATAAACGGCCGCTCAAGTTAAAGACCTCTGGAGCGTTAGCATAGACTGTAGCTATATATTGAGCGTTAGTGGCGTTGCCCCTGGCAACCGATAGAGGATCCTATCAACATGGCCGACCGGATTAGACCCCGCCCAAATTATCACGTGACTCCTCATTCTCAATTAAGACGAGGCTGGCTTGACGGCGGTTAGCAAGAGCAGCCTGCAGCCGCGGTCCTCCGCGTCTGGCCACCGTGCTCCAGCTTGGAGCAGCATCCACTGTGACGCGATCCACCAGAGTCTCATCGCGTACGAATTCTTCTCCACTCCCGTCTGTCGTTCGCGGCACCGGTGCGGCCCGCACACTCTCTGGGTCCTCCGCGCCTTGCGTTGGCGGTGGCACACCTACCTCCACAGGGCCCTGTTGCTCCACCACACACAGGCGGGTGTGCAGGTCCTGAGACGCAGCGCAAAGCTCATTCCTTGCTTCAGGGCGGCTATGTCCACAGTGAGCCTTTCAATTTTATTGAGTAGACGAGACGTCTATGGGCTTACTGATAGAGCCATACACTAATATATGATAGAGCCCATACACTAATATATGATAGAGCCCATACACTAATATATGATAGAGCCCATACACTAATACATGATAGAGTCCATACACTAATACATGATAGAGTCCATACACTAATATATGATAGAGCCCATACACTAATACATGATAGAGTCCATACACTAATACATGATAGAGTCCATACACTAATATATGATAGAGCCCATACACTAATACATGATAGAGCCCATACACTAAGCAGTTAGCGGCAGTAAAAGTGCTAAACTCAATCTTTTTACTGTTGAAACATTAAGAAGCAATATACTGTAACTTCCAAACGTAAATGTAATGAGTTTGCAAATGTTTTCAACGACAAGGGTCAATGCATCAAAAACGGCATTGTCTCCAATCCACAGATAACAATCCAACAGTCAGAAAGGCTCTCTGAGCTAACTCACTTTGCACCTGTAAATGATCAAACTGTCCAAGAGATAATCTCCAGTTTGAGCTCCTCCACATGCAGCCTGGATGTACTACCCACTAGATTTCTGAAGTCTGTTCTGAGCAGTCTGTTACCTTCACTCACACAGCGTGCACCATAACTTTAGACACTTGTCAGAGTCAGAACAGTGTTTCTCAGAGTCAGAACAATGGGCCTCATTCACGAATAACTTCGTAAGAAACTACTCAACTTTCTTCTCAAGTTGTCCTTAAGTAGATTTCTAAGAAGTCCCCACGTGGGATTCATCAACGCACTCGTAAGCCGCTGAATTGTTCGCAGCTGTTCTCTCAGATTGATGAATCCCATTTCCTCGTATGTACAGCGCGCGTGCCAGGTGCTTCATTACCATAGGTACTTAGCATAAGTAACCGCCCACTAATGCCCATATAAGGGGCTGCAGGGCCGTGTGCAGACGGCAGAGGAAACAGCAACAGGCCTAAAGCAGGCTTTTGCCAGACTGAGAATAAAGTTATAAAATGTTGACTTAAAAGTCGAAATATTATGATAATAAAGTCGAACTAGCAAAATTATGAGATTAATCTAAGAATATGATGAGATTAATCTCAAAATGTTATGAGCTTAATTTAAAAATATATTATGTATTATTTTAAAGATGAATCTCAAAATGTTTTCAATCAATCAATCAATCTTTATTTATAGGGCGCTTTTCCTGCACAGGGCAACACAAAGCGCCTCACAGTCCACACCACACAATGCACAAATCATCACCATTAAAATACAATTAGAAACACATATGTAATTAAAAAGCATTAAAATCACATAAGTAATTTAAAAACATAAAAATCACACAAGTAATTAAAAACAATAAAATAGTTAAAAACACAAAAAGTTACAACAATAAATAACAAGGTGTGTTAAAAAGATAAAATTCTCTAGTTGTATGCACGGGAAAAAAGAAAAGTCTTTAACATGGATTTGAACATTGACAGAGAGGCAGCCAGTCTCACATCCTCAGGAAGACCGTTCCAGACTTTAGCTGCATAAATCTGAAAAGCAGCCTCCCCCTGTCTAGTCCTGACTCTGGGCACTAACAGGAGTCCCGTCCCTGCGCTCCTCAGAGTCCGGGCTGGTTCATATGGGACTAGCATATCATGGATGTACTTTGGTGCAAGGCCATGGAGAGACTTGTACACCAGGAGAGCTGCTTTAAAGTCTATCCTCTGGGCCACGGGAAGCCAGTGCAGAGACCTGAGGACCGGACTAATGTGGTCGTACTTCCTGGTTCTAGTCAGGACTCGGGCTGCAGCATTTTGAATATACTGCAGCTGTTTTACTGCATGTTTGGAGATACCTGTGAGCAGGCCATTGCAGTAATCCAGCCTACTGGAAACAAAAGAATGGATAAGAATCTCCAAGTCTGCCCTGGACACAATATTTTTAATTTTGGCAATATTTTTCAGATGATAAAAAGCTGCTGATGTTACCGATCCAATGTGGCTATTGAAGTTTAAGTCAGAGTCCATTATTACTCCCAGATTTCTGACCTTATTTAAAGGCCTTAGGGAGAGAGACTGAAGGTGACAAATGACGGTCTCTCTTTGTTTCTCGGGACCAAAGACAATCATTTCGGTTTTGTCCGCATTTAGCTGGAGAAAATTGCATTGCATCCACTCACTGATCCGCTGGATACAGCGAAGGAGTGAGTCCACCGGCCCATGCTCTCCTGCAGTCAGTGAGACATAGATCTGAGTGTCATCAGCGTAATTGTGGTAGGACACTTTCATACTTTGAATTAACTGACCTAATGGCAGCATGTAAATATTGAACAGGAGAGGTCCCAGAAACGACCCCTGTGGCACTCCGCAGGTCAGGGCCATATTATCTGAGACATAGTTTCCAATCTCCACACAATGTCTCAATCTCCACAATATTTTGAGATTAATCTCAAAATATTTTGGACCCTGGGAGGAGATCCAGCACGGACCAGCGCTGAGACCAATGCAGACCCGAGGAGAGACTGGAGTGACCAGCACACAGAAACCAGCGCGGACAGGAGAGACCGCATAGACTGGAGTGACCTGACTGGAGAGACCGGTGCGCAGAGACCAGCGCGGACCGAAGAGAGACCGCATAGACCAGACTTGAGAGACCAGCGCGGACCCGTATGGATCCAGGAGCATGCAGCACGGACCCGTATGGAGAGACCAGTGCAGACCCGTCTAGAGCCATGGGAGAGACCAGTGCAGACCCGTATATGGGAGAGACCAGCGCAGACCCGTATAGATCCATAGGAGAGACCAGTGCAGACCCGTATAGATCCATGAGAGAGACCAGTGCAGACCCGTATAGATCCATGGGAGAGACCAGTGCAGACCAGTATAGATCCATAGGAGAGACCAGCGCAGAGACTCAGCGCGGACCCAGTAACCTCCTGCAGCAGCAGTATATATGCCGTTGTTCTGTGGCCCGTGGATAAAGAAATGCCCCCTATAAATAGGAAGGGGTCACTAATACACGGCAAGATTTCCAATGTATTTGATAAAGCGTTGGCACATTTCATTTCAAAATGAATTAAAAAGTAGGCCAGATCTGCAGTGAAAAAGGCGGTATATAAATAAAGATTACTAATAAAGATTACTACAAATAAATAAATACATACATCGATATGACGGACATATCACTGGAATGTTGTATTTTTATTCAACTTCACCAAAGAGGACAACCAAAGAGGCGTGTGAACATGTCGCACTGAATGCGTACGAGTGCTCCTGAGGACTCGTAGGATTTGTACTTGCCCAAGACAAATTCTGGTTACGAGAAATATTCGTGAATGCCACTTTCTTCGTAAAAACCGCGTAAGTAGGATTTACGTACAAATCTGTTCCTAAGAACCGTTCGTGAATGAGGCCCAGTGTTTCTCAGAGTCAGAACAGTGTTTGTCAGAGTCAGAACAGTGTTTCCCAGGTGAAAAAGAAATATATTTAAGTGTATTGTTGCTCTATTTTACTTTTCAAAAATATATTTTTAATTAAATAAAATGAACTTGTACTTTTAAGAAATACATTTCAAGTATAACAGCAATATATCTGTAAAATTGTTGTTCGAACATATTTTATAGTAAGTATATTTTTAAAACACTTTCTAAAAATATGTTTTACAAAAGTATAATTCAAATGCATAAAAAGTATAACATTGTATATATATTTAAACCGATTTATTTCATTATATACTTTTTGTATATTTATTCTAAATATACTTAGAGTAAATATGTTGATAATATGTAAATAATGCAAAAAAAGAAATACTTTCTTTTCTTTTCAAACACAATTCAAATGTATTTTCTTATCAACCTACTTATTTAATATATTAAATATCAAGTTAATATTAATTTTAACAATGCTAACTCCAAGTTACCTTTGTGTTGTATGTTTACATACAATTTTCATATTGTTAAATACTTAAAATATTGCAAGTTCAACTTTCCTATTTGAAAATAAAGATTGTAAATGGATTTACAGATTTCTACAAATAGGCCAGACAACAGAAGACTGTTCAGTTGATTAAAATCTTTATTTTAATCTCTTTCAATGCTGTTTGGAAGGGGGACAACAAAGAATTTGTTCATGGAACTAAACATTACACATTTACGCTGCAGTGACAAGGGGTCCACAGCAAATACATTATTTGTCCTGGACACCTCAGTTACAAATGTAGACGATATCTTCAGCTTTACATCTTTCCAAGCATTGTTTTCACTTTTTTTCAGTTCTTTCACCAACACACATATGCCAGCATTCTCATGGGAAACTTCGTTCTCAGATGAATAATGAATTAGTGTTGATATTTCACAAAATTGTCCATCCCTCAACTGTGCAACAGAATTAATTCTCTTTTTAAGACTTGTATTATTGTAAGAATGATAAAGAACTCCGCTACAAACAAAGCGATCATAAAATAAACCAGAATTAATCATCATGCCTGCGTAACATTGTATGGCTTTTCTATGCAATATAGATGTGTTATGCCTTTTGGGGCAGCCAACTCCTCTGACACCACACTGAAAAGCATTTGACTTCTGAACTAAGGAAGAGCTACCCTGTAGTTTATTGAAAAAGTCCTTTACACTGTCACAAGCATTCATCATCGCAGCATTTGCCTTGCTTGAAAGACCTCTCCACTTGAGGAACCTCTTGACCATCTGAATAGGAACATGTGTTGTTCCATTGAAAAATGTCAGCAATGTCCCATTAAAGGATTCAAATGGAAAGGTAGACGTCGCCCACAGAGGGCCCCAGTTACGAACACTTGCAGCCAAATGCATTAGCAAATGAACATTGTATGAAACATTGACCGTGCCATAAAGTCTTTCAAAATCTAACACATATTTACGCAGAGCCTTTTCTGCAACATCAATGTGCTTCACTGAGATGGCATCCTGAAGAAGAGTGTGCATTGCAAAAACTAGTAAAAACAAATGATTAACATACTTTTTCTTCAAAATATTGTTAAGAACAGGCAAAGCATAAAAAAGTAGAAACGACCTCCACTCGGACGCTTTCCAAAATTTCCTTTCATTTATTGATCTTGGTACTCGTGTCACTTCCACGGGTGGCATGATTCCAAGTAGCTCCTTGTCTACATCACTGACCTTAGATCCAATGTACCAGTCCTGATTATGGTGCCTACTATCAAACCATAAAGACGTGATCTGTCTGGTCACACCCAGACAGACACTGTGTTGATACTCCGGAATGAAAGAGGTGATCATGTTCATGCTCTTTAGCTCCATCAGTGGTGTGGGTCCTTTGACACCCATTACAGGCTCATCACTTGTTCCTTGCATGGCATGCTCAAAATGGCTTTCTGCTGTCCTTAACGCTGGTTCTGGTGTTTTCCACACATAAGGGCCACCACCCGGGTGGAGGCAAAAGTCACAGCCATACTTTCCATTGAACTGTTTTGTGTTTCTCAAAAGGGGTCGGGCTATTGAATCTGCTGAACAGATTAATGCATGCACTCTACTTTTATGTAGAATGTTGTCACTGTCCCTCCAAGTAAGGCCAACTTCTTCAAGCACTTTAAGTTGATCTACAAAAGCACTCAAGTAACTTAGCATGTTTGGTTTACTTTTCCCAAACCACAGGCATGGTACGATTATGTTTTGCTGTCTGTCTTTAGGTGATAGTTCAATGATCTGACACTGTATTGGCCAAACTTGAACATTATTGCTTTTAAATACAGGTATTCCGTCACAGTTCCATAACAATGACACATCATCTGGTCCATTATGTCCACTTATTTTTAGTTTTTTATATTCCTGTGCACACTCTATATCTGATACTATTCCATGAGTTGTTTGTATTGCTTGTAATTTGCTTTTTTCAAGAACTTGTACAGATTTGGTCCGATGTGTTCATTACTCTCTTTTCCTTAACTGGAACATGCAAAACACACATTTCATGACAAAGTGCATCACATTTTAAGAAATTAAAAGTACTTACAAAATATAGTAGACACAGCGGAAGCAGCCCACGCTCCAGAACAACGATGCGGAAACCACCAAGATTCTGTACATGTTATAACGGAGACAACCGACAAAACAGACTCTGCGCAACAATTGAAAAACACATTGGTGGCTTCAGAGCAACGATCTGACAGGAAACTCCGGCTCCTTGGGTTCAAACAAACCTCATCAGAGGCACCTATTCTGTAACAGTTTATCCTGTAGAAAAGTTTATTCTGTAAGTTTCCATCTAAACACATTCAGCCTTTTAATCTTTGAATACCTTCCACCTGGTTTATCTCCTGATATCGACATTAATGGTTTAGTGGGGGTAGGCTTCAATGTGCTATTATCCAAAATATCATTGCTTATCTGAGTTCGAATAGCTGCACATATATAAGATATTAAGTAATTCATGTTGGATTTTAAACCGTCTTTAAACATGCCAAAAAAAACCTAAATAGAATTAATAATTTACATTTTTTTTTTGCTAACATTTTATTACATTTCGGCATGGACTCTAAATTTTTATTAATCTCTAGTTTGTAAGCATATATGTAGCTTGTTTTTATGTTGGTAATTGATTTGGGCTCAGAAAGACCAGCTGACTGCTATGCTTTCAGGAGTGTCAAAACCAACTTATGCTTTGGGTTAAAAATGTTAGATATATTAAATTAAAATAGTTTTCTTTTGGAAAATTAGCATTCAATATTAGTTTTAAACCATGGATGTATTTGGGTAAAACATAGCATTAAATATGACCATCAATAGGGGTTTGTGACACATGTGATCTCCATATTTTTGCCTTTGAATTGAATGACCTGTCTTGAGAGCCAGCTCACTTGCACCCCTTGATCTGCATCAGGACATTTGGTAGGAGCCCAGGTCGGTGAAGTTGACACGGCTGATGGAGATGTGAGAAGTATCCCGTGCGCCCTGTTTGGAAAGTGTTGTATTCGTCCCAAAATCTGGGGTCCCCGAACTTTACTTGCCTCCTGAAAGTGATGGTTACCACAGAGACGGTGGGAACGTGGCTCCAGGAGACGACATGTGGGGGTTTGTAGGTGAAGCTGCAGGGTCCCCGCCCAGGAAGCACAGAAGAGCCCGGCTTCGATGCTCAGATGATGGGTAACACAAGCTCTGAGTGCATGATTTTCAAACTGGAATAGAATCATAAATAGAAAGAAACTACTCTTCATACTTTGAAAGTCTGTGATAAACATTCGCCTTGTAGCTTTCACCTCTATAGTGACTGGTTAGTCTACTCTACATATAGTGGGGAACACTGGGTTATAGTATTCCATAGGTGGGTTATATATGATGTAGGTCGAAAAACATCTTTCCTGATTTTGTGGGATTTTTTATTAATGCATGGCGAGAATATTCTTTCATCTTTTTTTAGGAATACATTTTATACATCACTTCCAGAACAATCTTTATAGAGCAGAACAGAAAAAAGGCTTTTTGCACCAATAAATTAAACTTTTTTAATATCATTTATTTATTCAATTGGAGAACCCACATGAAGACATTTCTTGTAAACAGTACTTTTTACAACAATAGTAAAAATGTTTTGTATAGTTTGGATGTATAAGTTTGCTTAATCTCTGTCATGGTTTGGTGGACAGTAGATGTGAAAACTACTGTTAAAATCTATAGCGGTTTGCTGTACTCAGACCTATCTCTGAGTGAAGTTATTAATCAATATAACTTTACACATTCAAGCACATTGCAGGAACAAGTAACTGGATCTCACCACGGGCAGAGGAACAGCTGAACCACAAGGTGAAGAGGACCACACACCTGCTCACGTTCCGCATCATGCTGCATACAATGTGTGAAAAAGTGTGAGTACTGTCTTAAGTGAACCACAAAAGCATCATGGGGAGAGGTACTGCCCCAGTGCAGAGCAGTGGAGTGTTTCAATTGAGATGACTGAAAATCATCCTCAAAATTTACTGCTGTGGGCCTTATGTGGTATAAGGCAGCCCTTTGAAACACAGATATGATGTGAAGAAAATCTGATGATGTGCTTCAGAAAGGATTCAGAACCACTTCCTGCACAATGGTGAGTCAAATCAATCAACATACATTTCATATTTTGATCATGCTGGATCAGAGGAGGGAATGTGTCTTATTAGCAGCTATTTAGTGTAAATGTATACGATAGTGCTTCTGACCCTTTTTCATTGGGGATGGATTTGACTTGTTAATAGAGTAAGTTTGATATAAAGTTTCAACATAAAGGAGTCCTCCACTCTCGAAGAGTGTGTTCACAGTTCGTCCCAAGTAAAACAGGTGTTTAGAAGTGAATAGTTTTAATCAAATATAAACCATATGTGCATTGTTTATCTCCCCTCATCTTCTGTTGCTATGTGTTAGTGTTATTTTCTATGTCCATTTATGGCAGTTAAAGTCTGGTTTAACTGGTTACTGGTTCTGGTTCTGAACAGGTTCAGCTGCATTCTCCTCCGAGGAGAAGAGCGAGTGCTGGTTTACCAAACTGCTGGCAGTAATGCTAAAACCACTGGTAAATAAAACAGTTTGTTGAAAGGCTAATGCTTTAAAGACAAAGGGAAAACTGCTGGCGAGTAAGAACGAAGTTTTGAAAGTGTTATAGTATTAAATCAAATATAACCATATGTACCTGTTTTATCTTCCTAACTTCGGTTTCTATGTGTAGTTTATTTTTCTATGTCTATTTAAAAACAAAAAACAAAAAAAAAAATCTATTATTTTTTCAAAATTTACTTTGCTTTTGTCATGGCTAGTTTTCATTTGGTCTTTAGCATTAGCCTTTCAACAAACTGTTTTTGCTGTTTTCCAAGTTTTATTTACCAGTGGTTTTAGCATATGTAAAGTGAGTGAAGTGTAAAAATTTTTTTACATTAATATAAATAAAAACTTGTAAAAAACAGGAATTTCCATTGGTTTGATATGGGTCAAACCAACGGCTATGGGAGTTATGTAGCTCCTAATTATGGGAGTCCAAGTGTAAAGTTAGCGCAGCTTCTTCCTTCCCAAGTCCAGTTGACCAATGGTTGTGCCCCTAAATCCCTAGATATGACTTCAAATGCCCAATGTACGTAGTGCCTTAGATTTTTCACACTGAGCTTCCGAACTTCAGTCTCATCACACAAGGAGAAGGTCTCTGGCTCAGACTCTGTGAGGGCAGGAGCTGCTACAAGGCAGTCTCCTCTTCTTTATGCGATTATTAAATGAAAAATATTTTAGTAGCAAAAATAAAAAGTTGGTTGTTTTGTACAGCTCATCCCAGCTTACAATTATTGGATACTCATTGCGGTAAGTTATTTTTCAACTCATATAATTTAATGAGGGACTGTTTTCCACTAAATGGTTGTGCTATAAGAAAAAATAAGAACTTATTTCATCAAGTCAAGAATTTTGGATTGATTCAGCGTAGTTTTGTCATTTCCTATTTGGCTTTTTAAAATCTAAGTTACTTAAAAAAGACTAATTCCCGCAGTTCATTCAGTTCTAAACGCCAAAACCAGTACTTCCCTTTCTATATAGATTCCATCCCAAAAACTGCCTAACTACTTCACGGAATGGAATTTTTTTCTATTCTTTGGTGTTTTTATTGTAGTAAATTTTATTTGAGGCAAACGGTTGTCTTTTAAAATATTTTTTAAGTAAGGAAAGAATAATCAGCGGGAGCCCGTCCATGGTGCTATTGTTCCTCACTAATGATATAAACGTCATTCACATTATTTAATACAGGATGTTTTTACACCGGCTCTCTATCTGCAGATAGAAGAAGATGACACTAAAGCTTGTCGTCAAAAATGTAGATGGATAAGGTAAAGCCATTATCGTTTGGAAATTTCCAGGCAAATACAATAACATTTAGATTGTGGCCCAAGAAAATTAATCTTTTACTCAGTCTTTACTCATGAAAAGTATATTGTGAGGATCAGTGGGTGTTTGTGAATTGAAGGGCTACCAGGAAACGGACGAGGGCAATCCAGAGTTCAGTCATCCACGAAGCTCAAAGGCCGTCTCAGTCGACGATCACGACTGAGTCTGGGGTCCTGGTGTGGGGTCCTGAAGGATTATGTCCATCCCTCACAGGTAAAAGTTAGCGCTGGGTGTAAGAATACCTGAACCAGGAAACAATAACCTTTTCAATTTAGTTGCTTAGATTACAAAATGTCAGTTCCTGTTGGCAAATAACTGTATATTTTTAGTTGAATTATTTGTTCTTTTGTTTGGGAAGAAAAAAAAATCTCACATATTAAGAGGACCATTTCTAATAAGAGCATTGGGTCCTTTCACAAACCTTTTGTATTTTGCCAGTCTTAAAAATGTATGAATCACATGAAACTGTTTCTTTCCCATGTTTATATAAGATTTGAGGGGGAAAAAAAACGATTTTAAAACTATTCACTTTCAAATAAGTATATGTATCATTATTGTTTTTTTTTCCAGGGGGAGGCTGTTCTGTTTGTTGTGACCAATTTCCTGGAGACTCAAACCAGGGGCTTGGATACTGTGCTGAGTGTAAGTAAATACAGATTTATTTGTACCTCGGACCGTCGGTGGTAAAAAATCCAACCTCTATCTGTATAATTGTTTCTTCCTGTTCTGAACAATGTTTTAAATATGATGTAACAATGGTACACTAAATTAAACTTTCCTCTTATGGTCACCCATTTGCAGCATTGTGAGTGTATGAACAGCTCATCCAACAGCCCATATATAAAGCATGGCTCCATACACAGCCTTCTTCTCTGCCTCTTAATGGGGGTGCCCTTAGAAAACTAACACTCTTGAGTCCACAGATATAAAACTAAACATGAATCCACAATACCAGCAGGTGGGTCACTATAAACATTTTTGCGGTCATTGGTCTCTGCCCCTGGCCCAATGGGCTCTATGTGTTTTTTATCATACAATTTCATGTGTTTGAAGTTGAACTATTTGATTCTTCTGATCGGTGTTAGTGAATCGACAACTTTGTTAAGTCATCCGCGATTTAATACTGTTGTGAATTGAAAATACCAGGGCATAAGCGTTTGAGAGTTGGCTTGTAGAGAGAATAATCTGTTCTAGATCAGATTCTGATTCATTTTATTAGCCTATGTGGCAGATAAATACTACATTGGATATACATTTGCAAAAAAGGTACTCTGTGTGCACCGACAGAAGACAGAAAAATGGCACATGACAAGCCAGTATATTGCTATTCATGCAGCTAAACACTATTTAACATACAGTAATGTTACCTGTTCCAACAGTGTGTTGGTTGTCCTCCCAAATATAACATGAGGGAGAGGCAAATCCAACCACCGCATGCTGTCTTTTCTTCTTTGAAAACATGTTATCTTTTGCATTAAGAGTCCTGTTTAGTCAATGTTTGGACGCTTTGGGCTGAGTGCTGATTGGCCTCTGAGCGTCTGAGTTGATGGCAGTTCTTGCTTTTCTGCATTTTGAGGCTATACACAGTCACACTTTTTTAATCAAATTCTTGTTACTTTGGCACTAAAGTAACCTGTAGTCAAGTGTATGTCAGTGTACAAACTAGTGAATGCATTTTGTTGTCCAAAGGACAACTATGATATTTCTGCTTCAAACGAAAAAGACCAAAGAGAATCTCATGAATCTCTCTAGTTTTGTTGTTTTACTGTTGAACCTGTTCCTTCATATCCTCTCTTTAGATGTCAACAGTACATAGAATACTTTTTGGCATTTTCAAGTAGTAATCCTTTCTTTGTTATATTTTCTGTTATGATACATTTTTTTAAATCTCAGAGCTAACAGTGTGGACGGGTCAATGTCATTCTGATAAAGACTGTAGAGAAGGATCTCACAGTTGTTGCTGGGAAATGGTAAGTAATCGTTAAATACGGAAATCAGTGCCAGTTCTAAGTTCGTGTTCGACATGAACTGAATTTGTGAGCCAGCGCTGCACGTTTTATGCAAGTTTGTACCGCCTTTCTGAGGAGGAACAAACTGCACTTGAAACACCCCCAAATCACATCAAGTTGGTCTGCAGAGTCCAGTGAAACAACACATTGATCAAGTCCCTCGTGGTCTAAGAAATTGAAACATTCGTATTGTTTGTCCAGTGATGGTTCTGTCCGTTATGTGTGAGATCATATCCATACTCTCTCCTCCTCAACTCAAATTTTAAAATGTAATACCATTTTTATCAGATAAGCACTTGTTTTTTCATTACATTTTCATCTCTATACTTCAAAACGAATGTGAAAGTTGTATGTGGCATGCAAGTCAGTTTCAATTTTGTACATTTGGCATTTGGCCCGTTGACCCTGTCCCAATTTTAAGTTTTGTGGCGCCTATAGTGATTTTCTGGTGCCTGTTTAGGTTAATCGAGTGGTTTAAGTAGGGCCAGCTCTATGAAAATAAAACTTTACCTTTTATATGTATACATATTTTTTTTTGGCCTGATGAGTGGACGTTGTTATGCGGAGATCTTGAATCAACTGGGACTTGTGAAATCTATGGCTGGTGTCCTGTTGGAAGAAATACAAACCACAGTAAGCTTAACGTTGCTAAAAAACATTTGCAGTATATGAATGTAACTAGTACTTATTATATTTTTTGTTTGCAGGCAGCTCTTCTGGGAAATGCTGAAAATTTTACGATATAATCAAGAATTTTATACAGTTTCCTAAATTTTCATTTGCAAGTAATTTTTCCCTAAATTCTAATCAAAACTATTTATCTCTTAATCACCTTAAATTCAGTAGTGTCTGCAAAGGACTGAATGTAGTGTTATTTTGTGTATTTTAGATCTAATGTTCGAGAACCTAGTGACTAATAGAGAATAGGACAAATC